ACCGTGGCACCAGGAAGTTGCAACAATGCATTTTGTTGGGGCTGAGCAATGCAGATGGGGAGGGGCAGGTTTTCGGAGCCGTCCAGCCCAGTTGGTCCCACCCTCTGTGTCAATACGAAGCTGGACCTTATAAAGCACCCGGAGGCCTTGGGTGGACCATTTCCTCAGCCCCAGCAGCCGCCAGGAGGAACTCGGGTCCGAGCCCAGCACCATGTCTGAACTGGAGATCGCCATAGGCATGCTCATCGACGTGTTTGCCCGGTATGCGGGGGCCGACGGCAACAGGCAGAGCCTGAGCAAGGGCGAGCTGAAGGTGCTCCTGGAGAAGGAGCTCCCCGGCTTCCTGGAGGTGAGGCGCCCGGGCCGAGGAGGGGCTCCACCGGGGGCAGGGTGGGCCCCCGCGGGCAGTCGGTCGGGGCGGGCCGGGGGGAACTCGAGGAGGATCTGGGAGGACGTGCGGGAAGGAGAAAGGAGGGCCTGGAAGGCAGAAGGGGCAGAAACCGTCCAGACCCAACTGCTCTAAGGGGTAGGGTTTAGAGGGGCAGGCAGGGGAGACCAGCTCCTGCCAGAGGAACAGATCCACTGCCCCAGGGCCCGGGGACTCAGCGCTTCTCAGCAGGAAGGGCCAGGCTGGCCCTTGAAGGAGCTGGTGCCCCAATTTACCTGTCGCCAGGATTCTTCCTCTGCAGGGGCCCCACGGCAGGGTGTGGGAGCCCGAGTGGAGGGGGAGGGGGCAGGGGCACAGGCGCCGAATCCAGGGCCACCCCTCAGAGTTGTCCCTCTTCATGGCTGCTGGCCACCAGCACCCCTGTCCACCGTCTGCTTGCTCGCCTTCGCCATTCCCAGGTTCCCGTTGCCTGGTGCTAGTGGGACTGACAGGAGTAAAAACAGGAGGAGGTCCCATCCTGGCACTTGTCTGCCCAGAGCCCTGGGGCCTCCCCAGGGGCTGAGACAGAGAGCCCGCCCTCCTCTGCCTCCCCTCCCTGCTCTCCTCCCCTCCTCCCG